GTCACTGCACTCCAGCCTGGGCAACAGAGTGAGACTCCGACTCACAAAAAAAAAAAAAAACAAGGGACAGGGAAGGCCAGAGGAAAAGCCAACCTGGCGCTCCCTAAAAAACTGTTGATGGCACTCACTGGGTGTCTTCTGCAGGTAAAAGCATCAAACTCTGGAGGGAAATAGAAAATAAACATCAAGAGGTTCAGTTCCCACCTGCTAATGTTTTTAAGGTGCTTGGCTGTTCTGGGGGTATTAGCTAAACAGATCAAGGTGGAAAAAAAAAATCAAAAAATGAGAACCTTAAATCATAAGCTTATAGAAAATTGTCTGACAAATCCACACTGTATATGTTTGAAAAGATTATATGCACCTATCACGCATACTAAACACCCTTTCGTGAGATCAGATGATCGATTATATATAAAATTATGGTAACTGGAAACCGGACAGATTAAGTGGTACAGATGAAGAGACAAGGAATTGCATCTACACAGAGGAGAGAGAAATACTAGTGTCAGGGGCCTTTCAAAAGTGCTCATCTTTCCACTACGCTGAACTGGGCCTTAAGAGCAACAGATACTGCACTGTATGACTTAATTATTAACTTAAGCTCTCATTAGGCAAACTCCGAGTAAAGCTCTGAATTATCCCTGAGACTTGAGATGTATGACAGCATCAGCGACAAGGAGGAGTCAATGTTTTCTCTCTCTTATTTGTGCGGTATCAGGTGCTTCCCCCCTCAAGATCTATCCACAAGAATGGCCTGCTTTTTGCTTATTTATATAAAGCCCACTGTGTTAAAACCGTGTTCTGCTTAATAATTTACAAAATTATCAGATTTATACATCTTAATTTTCAGTAATGTACAGCATTTGCTACCAAATGATGCCATAAAATTACAAATGTTTGAGAATAACATTAAAACCAGAAGAGTAGAAATCTAAGAGCTTTTTGGAGGGAGGTGTCTGTTTCAGTTGTAAAATGACATGCACTAATCTACGAAGTACTTGGGTCTGGAATTGTAATTTATCTAACTACTAACAATTCATAAATAACTTTTAAAGGAAAATTTAGGAGATAATTTGTATCTCTACAAAACATTCCTGTTTTACAGCAAGAAAATGGACAGATAGTGAATTCTGTTTCAGTCCAAGTTGACAAAAGGCAGTCTGAACTCTGAATTATTTTCCCTCCCCACACCCCCTTCCAAAAGTTTCTCCAGCCGTGCATGGTGGCTCACGCCTGTAATCCCAACACTTTGGGAGGTGAGAGGATTGCCTGAGCCCTGGGGTAGGAGACCAGCCTGGGCAACTTGGCAAGAGCTATCTCTATAATGAATCAAAAAATAAGTGGGATGTGGGGGCACACGCCAGTGGTTCCAGCTGTTTGGAAGGCAGAGGCTGGAGGATCTCCTGAGCCCAGAAGGTCGAGGCTCCGGTGGCCATGATCGTGCCACTGGGCTCCAGCCTGATGACAGTGAGACTCCGACTCCAAAAGAAAAAAGTTTCTCTAAATTCCCTTTCCTTCTCAGTCTTGGAGTTTCCCTCCTTGCTACCAAGGTCCTCAGCACATGTAACTGCCAAAATTATTTTCAAGTAAAGTAACCAGCAAAAAGGAAGGTGCGCACCCCGTCTTCGGAGCACCGTCCACACCAACGGCATCAAATCCGACCCATGCTTCTCACCGGCGAGTATGTGTGCATGGACAGTGGAGAACGAAACGCCCTCGAGACAAAACACAACTATTTTCAGAGGAAAGTGACTTTCGTATGACGAAAAAAACCGTCAGCAACCACGGGGCGGCTGTCACCCGCGGCACGCGCGTGTCCCTATAACCCGCTGTCCCAGGGCTGAGAGCCGCAAGAGAAAGTGGGTCGCGCGTGCCGGGGCGGCCGACGGAACCGAAGTTTGCAGAAATCACAGGTCAGAATCTGCAGACCCCAGAATCCTTTTTCCAG